TTTTTGGGGGACAATAGGACTGTGATGAGACTTAATATGACTATGATGGAGTAGAGAAGACTATTCTGATGAGCGAACAAGAAATCTACAAAATATGAAAAAATATTTTAATCTTTTTTTGTTTTTTTTTTTTTTTTTAAAGTTTATTTTATTTGTAACAAAAAGTTATGTGTTGATTGTCGGTGAAAGTATACCTGTACACAGTTTACAATCTAGCACTTAAAACAGTAGAACCAGCTAACTACACAAACATGACCACCACACACAATATTTCGTTTTCTCTTTAAATAAAATATTTGTTATACCAAAATGAATTTTTATATTTCTGATAAGAATAATTTTACTACCGAAGAAGAGAAGAAAAAAAAATTGACTAAATATATGCGCATTGTTGCTCATCAGAACAAATGTCTATAAAACCGGTGTGTCTATTGACCATCAAATTACCATAAAGGTTTTCGTCTAAGCCTATCACAGTAAAAGGGTGTGTGGATGGGGGGTCTGAAAAACATATGTATTCAATGTGGGATCCATATATATATATGTGTGTGTATGAGGGGAGGGGGGGGGGCTAATGACATCTAAGAATTTTCTGGGGAGGGGGAACTAATGACATCTAAGAATTTCTGGGGAAGTGGGGGGCTTATGACATCTAAGAATATTCTGAGAATTCAGACCTTTTATGTTGAGGCCTTAGGAAGGAGACATTCTTTTTGTTAAACAGTGTTCTTTTGCGTTTTCCCTTTTTGGTGAATATGCGGTCTATTTCTTCTATTATATCTGGGTCAAATCTGGTATCTGGTTCCCAGATACGTGAATTGTCTGCCCATTCTACTCGGGTTTGTCTGTGTCCATTCTTGAATCGACCTTTCAGTAGATCTTTAACTACATATTTTGTACTGGGGTCTGGAGTGGGCAGAGTTGGGGGTTATGGATTCTGTTGAGTTTTGGGGTTTGGATTCTGTTGAGTTTGAGCAACATCTTCATCTACCTGAGGTTGTATGTCATTATTGACATCTGCATTTTGTTCTGGTGGGTCATTATTTTGTGGATTTTCAGCTTCAGGTCATCATATTTTCTTCTGACAGGTCCAGGGGGTAGTAGCGTCTCAAATTTGTGGCATTTATTAGGGAAGGATAAATGCGATGATCAGAAAGTCTTTTCAACTTATATGTGTAGTTAGGGCCAAGCTCTATGATACGATAAGGACCTTCAGATTTGTCATAAAGCTTGCGTGAGAGACCCTTTTGGTGTTTTTTGTATTTTCAATAAAACTTGGTCACCAATGGATAATTCAGATATCTTAGCTTTAAGGTCATGACGCTCTTTATCTTTAGCCTTCTGTTCTGTTTCATTTTTAAGACCAATTTCATGAGCCATTTTCAAATTAGATAGAAATTCTTGTATAAAGTGTCTACTGTCTGGAGGCAAAGAATCTTTTGGTTCTAATGCAATATCAAAGGGCAATCTCATCTCTTGACCAAAAACCATGTAGAAAGGTGAGAATTTTGTTGTGTTGTTTGATGGTGCACGTCGAAATGCCATCATTATACTAGGAATCAAGGCTGGCCAGTTTTTTCTGATTATTATTGCAATACGTTCTCAAGGAGGCAGCAAGTGTACTGTTTTGACGCTCAACTGTGCAATTTGTATTTGGATGATAAGAACTTGTGTGACCTCAAATATTTCACATATAGCTCGTATGAGTTTTGAGGTAAAAGCAGCTCCACTATCAGAAGTGAGGCAGCGAGATGCCCCATAACGAGTTATAACCTAATTGTAAAGAACAGTACCTATTTCTTTTGCTGATTGAGTGCGAAGAGGGAATGCCTCACACCAGCTAGTGAAAGCATCAACGACTACAAGAATGAATTCATAGTTGTCAGCAGTTTTATAAATAGGGCCAAGAACATCAATATGCCAAATCTACCTGCTTGTGGCATTGGAGACCGGGGAGGTTTATTTGGATCATTGTTTCTTTTTGCTCTTTGACACCTGTCTCAAGACTTTATGTATTCAACTACGTCTGCATGCATTGCTGGCCACCAGTAACTTTGTAAGAGAGAAGATCTACATTTTTCAATGACAAGGTGGCCACCACCTGCTAGAGAATCATGATAGGATTTTAGAGCATCAAGCCTAAGACATTTAGGTAGGGCAATTTGTAGAATGTGACGCAACTCTTCTTGGACATTTCTGCAACGCCTTTGATACCAGTGGTATAACACATTATTTTGAATGGAATAGTATGCACTTTCCACAATAATATGCCTACTAGTTTTTGTGTCATCTGGAAGAGTTTTGTCATATAGATGTGCATAGATTTCTTTTGTAGCTCTGACAGAGATGTATTGTTACCTATGATATCATTTATATCAGGACCAACCTCTAAAGCATAAATAGAAGGAAAAGTGTCTTCAGAATCATTAGCATAGACAAAAGTGACCTCACGCTGATAGCCATCTTCATCAAATGAAACATCATTTTGAAGAGAACAAACATTAGCAGAAGAAGAGTCTGAATCATCATAAGGTCGACGACTAAGGCAGTCGGCTACAACATTACTTTTACCTGGTCTATGGACTATGTCAAAGTTAAGATATTGAATTTTTAATGCCCATCTTTCTAAACGACCTGTGTGTTTTGCAGTTTGCAACCATACAAGTTCTTTGTGGTCAGTTATTATGGTGAAATGAGTACCTGACAAGTAGGGACGATAAGCTTCAATGCCTTTTATCACAGCATAACATTCTTTTTCAGAAGTTGACCATTTTCTTTCATCTAAGGTTAAAGATTTACCTACATAACAAATGACATATTCCTTACCCTCATCATCTTTTTGACCTAGAATATAGCTTATGGCTTGATTTGAAGCATCGCATGTCAAGATGAAAGGCTTAGAGCTATTAGCATAGGAAAGAACAGGTGCTGAGATCAAGGCATTTTTGATAGTTTGGAAAGATTTTTCACAGTCCTCAGTCCAATCAAAAGATTTGTCTTTTCTAAAAAGAGCGTTTAAATGACTAACAATCTGAGAGTAGTTCCTGATGAATCTCCTGTAATAATTAGACATGCCAAGAAAGCTACGAACTTGTTTTTGGGTCTTTGGGTTAGGATACTCACTGACTGCTCTAGTTTTCTCTGAGTCTACTTCAACTCCATCTCTAGAAATAATGTGACCCAAGAACTTTAACTGTTTTACAGCAAAATGACATTTTGAAGGGTGGAGTTTGAGATTTGCTTCATTCAACCGAGTGAAAACCTGGCCAATATGTGAAAGATGTTCCTCAAATGAGCGACTGAAGATAAGGATGTCATCAAAATAGACAAGAACAAATTTCCAGTTAAGCCCTCTCAAAACGTTAGACATCATGCTAGCAAAAGTAATGCTACTGTTTCTTAAACCAAATGGCATTCTTTTCCATTGATAGACACCAGACTGAGTGATAAAAGCACTTTTGATTTGACTTTCAGGGTCTAGTGGGACTTGCCAAAAAGAACTTCTCATGTCGAGTGACGTAAAGAATTTACTTGTGCTTCTCCAATGGAATCGAACACACTATCTAGATGCAGTAAGGGAAAATTTTCTGCGAAAGATATACGGTTTAATTTTCTATAATCAATACAGAACCTGTATTCCACTTTGTCAGATTCCTTATCGTGTGCCTTTTTACGGACTAAAACAACAGGAGAAGACCAGTTAGAAGTGGAGTGCTGGATAATGTCATTTTGCAACATTTCTTCAATGTGTTTATTTGTTTCTTTCTCCATGTGAGGGGATTGTCTATAAAAGTTTTGTCTGACTGGTTGGGTGTTTGGGATTGTTTCAATGTGATGGGTATAGGATGAAGTAAGACCTAACTCACACATATCAGCAGCAAAAGTACCTCTGTGATCTTTTAGGAACGCATTTAACTTTGTCTTTTGACCTTCTGTTAAATCACTATCTGCTAAATCAAACTGAATATCATTATGATGTTTTGTTTTGCTAGAATTCATAGATGAAACAGAAAAATTGTTTGATTCATCTTGTGGTTTATCAAAAGAGTGTATTTCTGCACCTTGTAAACATTCAACTGTTGCTAATTCTCTGTTTGCTCTTAAATGTACATCTTTGTTTGTTGGGTTAAGCAATTTTAAAAAGCCTCTATTTTTGTTAACCTTCACTACACATTTTGCGGCAAGTAAATTTTGACTAGCTAGATTGTGAAGTGGTTATAGTAAAACCTCAGCGCCATGTTTTTGTCTTGAAATTTTGACTGATATAATTTCTCAGACATTTTAGGAATTATAACAGCATTTTTTACTCTTGCTAACCCAGATTTCGTGTCCATTTTTATAACAGTTGATATGCTTGGGTTGTCTGTTAAAGTAACTGTGTCTGTGTCAAAGCATAAATTTGCTTTTGAATTTTTCAAAAAATCTACCCCTAATATTAATGAATGGTGAAGTTTATTTAGCACATAGACCATTTGTTGATAGTCTCTTTCTCCTATAATTGTGACCTTGATTTTTATTTTACCTAATATTCTGACATGATTACCATTCACTGCAATTATAGATGGTATATCAGCAGGAAGAAGTTTGTCTTTTGCATATGTAGTTTTGTTTAGAAATTTAGAATGCATGACTGAGATATTTGCCCCACTGTCTAACAAAGCATGAGTTTTCGCGTCACCAACAGAAACTTGTGTAGTACTCTTTTGAGGATGAAAAGTTGTCAACAAATTTACAATTGCCTTATGATTGTGATTGTCATTATGCCCACCTATAGACCTTGGTTGCCTACAAGCAGGCTCGCACCCCTTTTGGAAATTGACAGACTGTTGAAAGTTTTGCCCACATACATACTGAAAATTACCTTGTTTACCACATTTTAAACAAAACTTATTAAATGCAGGACATTTGGACCTTGATATACAAAACTTACCACAGCCTTTACAATTTGTAGTTTGGTTTGACAGGTTTTGTGGTGACCATTGCTGTCTCTGGTTTGTGCTCTACTGATATCTTGGTCTATTCTGCTGTTGTGGCTGGAATTGCTGGCGTGGTTGGAATTGCTGGAATTGCTGGCGTGGCTGGAATTGTTGGAATTTCTGTCGTGGCTGATAGTTATTCTGGAGTTGTGGTTGGTACTGATGTTGGTAATAAGCCTGTTGTTGTGGTTGATATTGTTGTTGTTCATACTGATGGTTTTCAACTAGTCTATTGGTATTTGGGTTGTAACTGGTCAATTTTTCGTCCATGGAAGAATTGATGGCAGAAATGGTGCTTGAGAATCTTTCTGCCAAGTTGTCCATGAGTCTGGCTTCAGCTGATGCCACAAATTTTTCCACATTGTCATTTAGGTTAGTTTCATCTTGAGATTTTGTTTGGTTAACTGTCATCTCAGCTATCGAAGCAATTTTCCTTAATTCTTCCATTGTTTGTGGTTGTTGAGGAATGATTATGTGGGCAATTGAGGATCTCATTCCATTATTAGCAAGTTCTATTAAAAAAGGTACTGAGGCACTTCTATATTTATTGTATTGAATTGCCCGATGAATGTAATCTTCAATATTTTCTGTTGGAGACTGTTTTAATTTTGTCAAGTTAATACTTGAACTGACTTTTGGTTCAAATCTGCTGATGAAGGCCTTCTTGATAGTTGCCAAAGATTGTTTTGCCTCATCGGCTAGGGTTGAAAACCATTCACCTGGTTTGTCTTCCAAATGGAACGGCAATGAGAGCACAGCTTGTTTGTCTGTCATATGTTGGAGTGTGATAAATGCCAAGAAACTTTTACCACCATTGACTTGGCGAAACTTTCCCATCATACGGTTTTATGTGAACATTTATTTTATGTTCTATCTGGAAACCTGGTGGTATTGGTTGGGTAGATGGTTGAGGTGGTGGTTGATATGCAATGACTGGTGCATTAGTACTCACTGTTGGAGCTGTGGCTGTTGCTGTTGTAGGTACTGTTGTAGTTGTAGTGTTTGTTGCTGTTGAAATTGGTGCTGGTTGGAGACCAGATGCTCCTGGTTGTTGGAGGATAAGATTTGTTTCTCCAGCTGATGTTGCAGGGGTGCCATTTTCTGGAAACATACTTAAAAGCCAAGAGTGATGTGGGTCTATTGGTCCTTTGGATCTGGTCCACATATATTCTTCTACACTAGGGATCTTTAAGTCGCTCCGTCAATTGACAGAGTGTGAATTTCGCTTGTTTGTTGCGGATGTTGGTGTTTGTTTGGTTAAGGATGTTGTATCGGGTAAACTTGGGTGTACCAGTAATCGAGTAAGATCCTTCACTGGGGTTCTGAAATTAATCCAAGAGAAACTTGAAATATAGGTGTTTATTAATTGGAAGCAAATCAGTAAGTCATACACAAGTACAATACATAGGCTGTAAACTAAAATTATGGATTAATAAAAACTATCAATGATAATCATGAAAAAATACACATTTGTGACGGATAAAAGTAAAACCTACATAGCAATACATAGCATTATTATTTATTCGTGAAACTCAATCAATCAACATTAAGACGTAATGACTACTACTGAATAAAGCGATAAAGTGAAATTCATAAATAAATGTGTATACTTTTGCGTACCAAATAAAATATAAGTTTTCTGCTTAACTGGGTGGTATTTGAAATTACGAAACATTCCTCATAATAAAACTATACTAAAAACAAACACTATCTACATTCTATAATTTGTAAAGTAGTTAAGATTCTATTCATAAGATAAATACTTATTTGACAATTGATACATTTCTTATTAAGGAGAGATAATCATACTTTTATGCATGGGTGTCTTGCAAGGCATTAATTCTACTAAAAGGGAATTAGAATAATTACTTACAACTGATGATTAAAACAAAATAAGGGGAGATGATTAATCTCAAAATGGGATGAAATTACTAATAGTCTTTATTCTGTCAGGGGGGGGGAGGGGATTTATTCAGAACAAAACATGTAAGGAATAAAATAATATATACACTTTCATACATCAGCCGATAATACTACGATTTCTATTGCTTAACTTCACGAGTAAAACAGTGGCTACCAGTCTGCCAACATTATCATACAAATATTAAGACAAAAACTGATTCTGTATACATAGAATATTAAGACTACGCTGTTAGATAATATTATAAAAATTCTGCCAATCGGCTTTAGGCAAACAAGTCTTACCATGATTCTAAATATCTTTTCAAAGTAAAAACTTGCTTTCATTTACAAAGCGCCTTTTCTATTTTTATCACAACAGAAATGGGTTATCGGACTTGATTTAATTTAGCTATTTATAGATAGGCTTTGAACTCTTAATAATTTTTATAAAAATGAACATGTATTCTTAACAAAAGAAGGATAACTAATTGACTAAATACAAAAATATATAACGCTTACTATTTACAATAAAGGCTAACCCTTTTTTCTATGTCTCAAGACTTCTTTTAAATAGATATAAAAAAAAATTTCATAATCAAATAAAATAAATGTAATTTCACTAACCTGAAAACAATCCAAGAGAAACTTGAAATATAGGTGTTTATTAATTGGAAGCAAATCAGTAAGTGATTTGTTTCCAAGAAGTAGTATTTCAACATCCCCATGGATTATTTTCTCTGTAACCAATCATATTTCTAGATCCTTAGAAAAATAGGGGGGCTTGTCATTTCTTAAAATAAGGGCGGTCCTAAAATAGCGTGCCCTGGTCAAAAGTGCTAATTGAAATTACCTACATTTCAGGCCGATAACAATAGCAGCTTAATTAAATCTCTGTCTTCAAGTTTGTATCTGCCAAAGTTAAATAGGGTTGAGTCAAAGGTGTTAATCTCATGACAAAGACTATTTGATAAAATTCTAGAAAAGTATTAAAAAGTAAGCTACAATCCAGATTCAAAGTAAATACAATAAAAACTTAGTTCCGTCTTAAACGCTTCAAAATGTTAACTTAAAACCTATTATATAAGATATAACTAAATCTTTATCTTGAGCCGTAATTTGGAAAGTTTTCTATGTAAATGAAGAAATAAATAATAATTTATTTTAACTATGAACTATTGAAACTATCTTTTCTCTAATAAATGAATGTATACTAGTATTTGGGGTTGGTGACTGGAAACTAAATTTGAACGAAAAATACACCATGTGAACTCCCCCTTGGCCCAACTGCTTTGGACCCCAAAGCTTCAAAATGTTAATATCACTTCTGAAAAATATCAATACACAAATATTAGAAAAAAAGGACAATACAGAAGTATCTTTCTAAAACATATATACAATTTTCAGTGTACGGTACACAAAATAAAGCATAAAAATTATAATATATATATACATTTAGACAATACCAATTAAAATATAGAAAAATATGTAGAGATCAGTTTTGTAATCAAGGTCCTGATTTATTCTAAAAATATGGAACAGCCTGATTGACTCAAATTAAAAAAAAAATTGTATACAATTCTTTAAAGGTTATTTTCAAATGAAAGTTATGTAACAAGGTCGCGTTTACACTCATTGAACATCAATGTACAAAATATAAGTAAAAAGTTCCAAAAATTCAAAATAAAATAGCATGCAGTTTATATGCCATTAGAAGTTAAAGTGAAATTATTGAGTCAATCAAGCTTTGGATACAATGATGTTGCTTCATCAACCTTCACATGTACATCATCAACATGATCATTAGACTGTGGTATACAAGATGGATTCAGTGTGAAGGCAAAACCTTGATGGGTTATTAGAACATAAACATTAAATTGTTGATTTATAATCTGACTAATTTTATAACGGGTAATGATATTAATATCTATAGTGGATGGTATTTTTACAGTCTGTCCAGTGACTCTGTTTGTAACAATAAATGATGACCATGCAACAAATAATTTTGATTGTGGAAATGCAGAAATTGAGAGATCATGTACTTGTGGTACAGGAAAATTGTAATAGGATGGACATAATGACAAACTTAGTATTGGCACTGTTACACGACTTCCACCTGAAGTTATTTCAAGCATGACTTTTGTTGACCTTTGATTTTTTGATTTGTACAAAGAGTATATGATAAAAATCAAAAATACTAATACAATGGCATTTAAAATAACAGATACATCTTGAGCCGTAATTTGGAAAGTTTTCTATGTAAATGAAGAAATAAATAATAATTAATTTTAACTATGAACTATTGAAACTATCTTTTCTCTAATAAATGAATTTATACTAGTATTTGGGGTTGGTGGCTGGAAATTAAATTTGAACGAAAAATACACCATGTCATTATGGTGAAATTAGATTCAGAACAGCACGACATTTATGTACAGTGACGGTTACGTATTACACTTAAATGACTTGGGTGTTATGTACAAATGATAGAAGAGCAGTTTAGTATTGCCTCGTTCTAATTAACTGTTTGCTTCCTGCTCTTCTAGTCAATTTGGGGTGATACACTAAAAAGGCGATGAAATAATTTCAAACCAGCGTGATGTAGATGTAATAGATTTAGAAGGTAAGTAAACTTGTTTTGTTTTATATGTTGCTAGAAAAGAGATACTATACCCAAACGTTCCAAAAGGTTGTGCCAAATACAGCTATGGTTATATGTCTGGGATAAGAAAATCCTTAGTATTTAGAATAATTCATACTTTTGCAAACAGTAAATTACATATATATTTTCTATTCTGTACCTTTTTTAAAACAACTATGCTTTAGAACAAACACGTACATATAATATTGGTCGAGTATTCTTATACGGCTAATGTTTAATAACCATAATAAATGTATCTTGTACATTTAACTTAATTCGTGATAGCATCTGGACGACAGTTTAAAAACACTGGTTTGGTAAAGATGTTATATATGATAAACGATAAATTTGATTTGTTAAATGCAGATGAGTCCATTTGATAGATTCTGTCAGTTTTTATGGATTTTCCTTTTTTTAATTTACCATGTAGTTCCGTATTTTTGTTAAAGATGTTTGCCAATTAACTGATCAATAAAAATGAGACTAAAAATATTCCTGTTCAGTAACATTTAAATTAAAAAAAAAGGCAAGATGGTTGTGTATCAACTTTGTTTGACACCAGACAATATGCAATAAAATCCACCGATTGAATATCATGTCTGTCTCAATGACACCAGACAATACGTAATAAAACCCACCGATTGATTATGCTGTCTGTCTCAATGACACATGCCAACATATAATATAATCCACGGATTGATTATTCTGTTTGTCTCATTGACGTCAGACAACATATAATATCATCCACTGATTGATTATGCTGTCTGTCTCAATGACGTCAGACAACATGTAACAGAAAAATGATATTTGAAACAACAGGGAGAGGGACACAAATGATATCTACTGTTTTAAGCTATAATAAACCTCCATAATACAGAACCGAAAACAAAATTAACTTAAATAATACTGTTTAAGGTAAAGAATTAAGATACTTGCACACGATTAAGCGTTAAACTTGACTAAAGAAATGAAACAAAAACCATTGTTTGATAAGTTCTCGAAACAAGTTGTATTTACAGCATTGGCATAAATTTTTTTCTCCATATTACCCTTAATATAATAAATATTTACTAGACTGATGATTAAATGCATCGGAAAGTACAATAATAAAAGTCAAAACAAGTTAATGAAGAGAATAAAACGTTTGTACATGTACTTGTAATTTTGGGATGATGTCAAGTTTAAATCGTTAATATTTACAACCTATATCTTCCTGTTATGATGAGTCAACGATCAACTTATAATGTTATCACCTAGTACTTATCCTGTATCCTGTTTATACTTGTGTTCAAGGTCGACCTTAATCACTGGTGTTAAACTGATAATCGTAACTGGAATTACGACGATCCCAATATGGCGACGGCAGAAATAGGTAAAATCTTATCAGTCATTTTTCTCAAATGTAGCCCGTTGTTGTCAAGAGTTACTCAGCTGCAAGGTTTTTCTATACCATTACATCATATTTGAATCGTAACGGTGCACTATAATTGTCTAAGCGCTTAGAAAATTGCCGTCGAAAAATTCGGGATGATAATCGTAACTCGCAAAAATGATAATCGTAATTTCGGTAT